ATGTTTGTAAAGGGACATGATGATAAGGCATTGTCTTGCAAGGCTATTCCTCTAAATGATATTTAACATCTCCTGGTTCTTTTCTTGCATACATCCTTATTCATCCAGTCACTGTTCTCTGGGTAAGTCAATGGGGTTGGTTTACTAGGCAAATAGACTGTTTGAAGTTGGTTTATTAAAACTGGAGAGTGCAGGGGCGGGTGGCCGTTTATAAATGTCCTCCTCGCTCCCTGCTTGTGCGCGCTCCCTGGGAGCATGCTGCACCGTGATCCGGTGCCCACTGTGTCCTCTGGACACAGCGGAACACCGATCGTTGTACGGGACCTCTGTGTGAGGTACCAATTATGTGATCACCGATTGGCCAATCAGTGATCACATGAAGAGTAGTAAGCATGATGTCACTTCTGACATCATTGCTTACTACGTGTGAAATCTGTGAATGATCACAGAGGTCACATGGTACAAGGCTATTCACAGCAGCCTTGTACCATGTGACAAGCTGTGACCAATCACCGCTCTCAAAGTATTTCTCAATGGCTGCAAAAATGCAGCCAGATAGGAGAAATTATTGCTTTTACAGCCTTTATGGGTGTAAAAGCAATCAGTGTAAAAAAAAAATCTTCATCACCCCCCACAAGTAGTACAGAGTCACTATGGTGACACTGTACTGCTAGGGTGACAGTATGTTAAAAAAAACCATAAATAATAATATAAAAAAAATAAACTTAGACTGTAAAAATATTTTTAGAAAAATTATAATGTTTGGTTATAAACTAATTTGGGTTATTTTTTTTTTACTAAAAAGATAATTGAATACATTTTGGCCAAGATTTATGAAGAAAGATTATTTGAAACATGTTATAAGAAAAACACTTTTTCAAAATTGTTGGACTTTTAAAAAAAATAAAAATCCCAGTGGTGAATAAATAAAAATTTTCTGGCTCAAGTACACCTTGTCTTCCAGTCTGAACCTTGGACATATCCCCTACTACATTACAATTGTGCCTTGTAAATTTATAGGTCTTTTTCAGCATGGTATAGAAGGCGTCTTTCTCTTGTGGTTTATCTTAACTCATTCATGCCCGGCCTAATATAATATGATGGCCGAGAGGAGACCCTATTATCCTGGGAGGATGGCATATTATGTCCTCACAGGATCGCACTTTGTGCGCAGCCTACAGGCAGAGCTTCAGTGCGATCTGTCACCGGAAGTGTCTATCGGACACGGCCGATGACACATCACTGCACTGGCCTCTTGCTAGTGCAAAGTGATCACTGTGGCTAATCACAGCAGATCACATGACAGTTGTAAACAATGAATGGCTTCCATTCAAGCCATTCATTGCTTGCAACTGTACCACTAGCTGTGATTGGTCACAGTGATCCCATGTAAAGACTGGGCCAATTACAGCCCCTTTGTAACATGTGATCAGCTATAGCCAATCACAGCTGATCACAACAAAAACTACTGAAAGAATCAGTTTCATTCAGTAAAAATTCTTGCTTATACCAGTGAAATTCGTTGGTATAAGCAATCATAAATGTGTAAAAAAAAGAAAAAAATCACTTGCTCACTTGCTCAGAGTAGTACAATATTGCTATGGTAACAGGAGTGAGGTAAATAAGGTAATTAAAACATTTTTAAAAAATTAAAAACATTTAAAACATTTTTTTTGCATACTTTTGCCAGTCAATGTCCCTGATCATCGTCGCACCAGTTATATGATGATACTGTACTGCATTGGTGACAGTATGTAAAAAGAAAAAAAAAAAGAATTTTATTTTAAATTTCTTCACTTTCCACAAAATTATAACAAAAAAAAGACAACTTCAAAAAACTTGCTATGCCTCTTACTAAATACCTTATACTGTCTACTTCTGAAAAGTGGTAATTTGAGGAGTATTTGTACTGTCCTGGCATTTTTGGGCCTCAAGAAATGAGATTGACCATCAGTACAGCAGGATTTATCAATTTTTAGCTATTTACCATAGTTTGTAGACTATAAATTTCCTACCAACTACATAATAAACACTGATTTGGGGTATTTTCGTCAAAGACATGTAGCAGAATACATTTTGGCCTAAATTTGGGTAGAAAGATTATTTATTTTCAAAATGACACAAAAGAAACCTAGAAAAACAAATTTTTTTTCCAAATTTTTGATCTTTTTTCATTTATAGTGCAAAAAAAAAAAAAAACCCAGTGGTGATTAAGTAGCACTAAAAGAAATCTCTATTTGTGTGAAAAAATGATAATAAATTTCATATGGGTACAATGTTGCATAACCATGCTACAGCGCTGAAAGCTGAAAATTGGCCCGGGCAGGAAGGGTGTAAAAGTGCCCAGTAGACAAGTGGTTAATTTGAAGCTTAAACATTAATAATACCTATGTAATAAATGTACTCCTTATTCTGACCCCAGGAAACTGGGTCAAATCTGATAATAGAGTGTTTCATAGTGCAAGCATGCTGTTTTGCATCAAAATACAAATATTTGTTCTTGATTTTTACCCTTTTACCAAAATATCTAATTTATTATTCAGCAATATCTAAAGGGTTCCGTATGAGTACCTATACTAAACAAAGTTGACTGTCAATCAGTAGTATCAAACTAATAATCTGTCAGTTAAACAAAATTAAGGAACACTTAAATAATACAAAAGTAGAAAAAATTTGATATACCACTCACCAATTTTAAGAGAGTTAAGTACTGAAAATCTCAGACTTAGCAATTAAATTCAAATTTTTGGAGATATTCCTCATGTGTCAACTTACCATACACTTTTTTGCTTTAGGAATGTGCTGGAGAGGCTTAGATTGTGGAATTTGGTACTAATTTCAGGCTCCTGACGTACAGAACCAGACAGTTAAAAATAACCATATCTCACCCATTAACAAAACAAGCAATGATCAATTACATTCTCTCCCTTTCCATTCACATGTAACCATGGCCGAGTGCCAAGAGAGGATCAAGTTTGATGTTTATGCACCTACTAAGGAAGAACATGTGATGTAGAAGGATTAGTTTGAGCTTTATCCTGTAAAATGTAGAGTTGAAGTCTAAGCATTTCTATGACAGTTGAGTTTGATGAGGCCTCACCAGTGAGAATTGATGTAGGTGAGCTTCCTTCAGCAGCCATATAAGGAGTCAAAAGATGCATTGTCATCACAGGACATTTTTGGCTACAAATTTTCCAAGCCATCAAAAATATTAAAAATAAAATTTAAATTAAACATCAAGGTAATGAGAGCAGCTTCAAGTTACAGAAGTATATCACTTGCTCAGTTTGTCTTTTGTAAGACACGCAATAAAAACAGTGTTTTACTTAAAACAGCAACATAGATTGAACACATAATCCTGTTTATAAGTCACTATTATGTTATAATTCATATGAGGTTTTAACTACTTCAACTCTCAAACCTGTACATCCGTATGGACCATAGTCATTGTGAAATGTCTACTATGGGTCTATTAATTGAATAACTTTGTCATAGTTTTGGATAACATTTTTTATGCAATCCAAAAATAAAAAATAAGAAAACTAAAAACATGCATTTTTTCTATTTTGCTAGTTAAAAAATAGTGTTACTGTAGATGAAAAGTACAAATTTTATTCTATAACTTGTTCCATTAAAACCATATTAACATTGAGATTCTGGTACAAAGTATTACAACATTATTTACCACTGAAATAAAATATTTTTCCTTCAATTTCTTTTAATTTTGTGGCAACAATAAAACATGAGTTAAAAAACCAAAACCAAAGTAAAACGTTGAATATGTATGGTTGCAAAAAGAGAAATCAGCAGGAAAATCATAGTTAAATGAAGAAGGAATTGACTAAAGCTGATTAGAGTAAAGTAAAGTAATCAGTATCAGTAAGCAGTAATAGGGGTTAAATAGGAACAAATTATATTTAAAAAACATTTCAGGATGCTTTATCTGACATCACATGCAGATTGTAGTTCATCCCTTTGATCTGCAGATAAATGAAATATTGCAGATACAAAGTAACAAGATATGACTGCAGATATACCTAACATGCCATTTCTAGGTACTAGGTATTTCTAGGTTCTAGGTACTAGGGGACTAATTACGTGACAGTTATACCCAGAATTTAGTGTGCCTTGGCTAAAATACTGTTATTAGTTGTATAGATAATAAAAAACCATAATGTTGGTGTAGATACCTCAGATTAGTATAGATGAAAAACAATAATCACAAATTTAGCTGGCTGGAACGACACCTTCTAGTATGCAAAACTGGATCATGGCCGATCAGCATTCAGCCCAACTCAGTTTTGTTCTGAGAATGGGATGGAAAGTCTTCATATTGTTGTTGGAACATAGGGCTGTATTCTGTATGTAGATGATGCTACACCCGGTTTAGACAGCACTGACAGCAGCCACATGTAGTAGTAAAGGAAAGAGTTTGGTTAGGTTAGCCTGGCCCAAACAAACTATTTCAAGTAATAGCAAATCTGGAGTAAGCATTTAACCACTAGCCTACAGGGCACTTATACCCCCTTCCTGCCCAGGGCAATTTTCAGCTTTCAGCGCTGTCACACTTTGAATGACAATTGGGCGGTCATGCAACACCATACTCATATGAAATTTTTATCATTTTTTTGTGACAGAGCTTTATTTTGGTGGTATTTAATCACCTCTGGGTTTTTTATTTTTTCTTAAACAAACCAAAAACTACTGAAAATGTTGAAAAAAAAAGTTTCTTAGTTTTTGTTAAAAAATGTTGTAAATAAGTGATTTTTCTCCTTCACTGATATGCGCTAATGAGGCTGTAGTGATGGGCACTGATAGGCTGCACTGATGGACACTGATAGGTGGTACTGATGGGCACTGATGAGGAGGCACTGGTAGGTGGCACTGATGGGCATTGACAGGCATCACTGATGGGCACTGAAAGGCAGCACTCATATATGGCACTGACAGTTGGCACTGATAGGCGGCACTGACTGGCACTGATAGGCAGCACTGACTGGCACTGTTAGCTGGCACTGTTAGGCGCGGCACTGATGCACACTGATAGGCGGCACTGACTGGCACTGATAGGCGGCACTGCTAGGCAGCACTGATTGGCAGCACTAATAGGTGGCACTGATTTTCAGAACTGATAGGTGGCACTGACTGGCACTGATGGGTGACACTGAAAGGCAGCTCAGATGGGCACTGATATGTGGCATTGATGTGCACTGGTAGGCACTGAAATGTGGCACTGATGGGCACTGGCAGGTGGCATGGATGAGCACTGAGAGCTGGCACTGATGGACACTGACAGATGGCACTGCTGGGGCTACACAGATCATCAGGGAACACTGATCATTAGTGCCCTGATGATCAGTGTACATGTCCCCTCTGAGGGATGCCGATTACCGGCTCTCCTCTCCTCTCGAGCTGTCAGTGTGACAGCTCGTGAGGAGAGAAATGCAGATTAACCGGCATTTCCCTGTTTACATGTGATCAGCTGTGATTGGACACAGCTGATCACATGACCGAGCTGACATCTTTGCCTCTTTCCATTGATCAGTGCTCCGCTGTGTCCGAGGGACACAGCGCACCGCCATTCGCCACGCTGCGTGCTCCCGGAGCCGTGCATGCGCGGTTAGAATAGGAGGACGTCATATGACGTCCTCCCAGAATGAGAGAACCGCCTTGCGTCCGTCATTGTACTATATGGCGGGCAGGAGGCAGTTAATAATCTCTTGGGATGAAAAAAATCTGCTTTATTTTGGTTACTAAAAAGTTTTTCAAATCTTACTAGGAATTCATTATTATTATTTTTATTATTAATATAATACAGGATTTATACAGCGCCAACAGTTTGCTCAGCGCTATACAATAGAAAGGGAGACAATACAGCAACAATACAGTTCAATACAAGAGGGTTAGGAGGGCTCTGCTCCTTGGAGCTTAAAATTCATGAACTTTGTGGTGAACTGCAAGTCTGTAGATGGCAAATTTGGTTAATTCTGCCAATTTATAAGCAAGCTATTGCCAAACAAAAGACATGAGAAGCCAGGCACTGCCATGAGGAGCAATATCAAGATTAATATAATAATAATAATAAAAAAAATAACAGCATTTCTGCCTACAAAGAACTTTCAGCTCACCGTAATTGTTCCAATACACACTGACATTATGACTGCTGTAAGTCCATGTTTTTATAGAATGGGGACTGGGTTATCCATTCCTTCAAATTTTTGGCTTTTGTGACTTGGCCAGTTGAGTTGACCCGGCCAAAGGCTATGTACTGCCTTGAAGGTTTTCCCTATTTTTACAAGTGAACATGTTGAGTTTTCAATCAAAAGTTTGTGATCCACAATCTTCACGAATCCCAGGGATTCATAGTGAGCCATGGTAGTGACAAACCCAAACCCCATCCCTAATCTCCCAATCCCTTGTTGTTTTTCTGACAGTCCGGTGCACAAAACTACTTACTATTCAAGATGAGGCTTTATAAATTAGTCACATACTTGCAATAATGTTCTTCCACCACATGCTTTTACATTCTTTGTCATGCATCTTAAATCTGTTTTGTTTTCCAGTTGCTGTTTGGTATAAAGTGCTGTTACTTCTATTTTAATTTTTACCCAGTATTGCTAAGTCCTTCTCCAGCTCCAAATTACTCAGCTGTATTCCATTTAATGTACAGGGGGCAATGTCATTACCATTATCTATGCAAAAGTACAACCAATATAGTGGCGCCTCCCTATTCACCATAATGTGAAAAACTATAAAAATTGATTTGACATATGTAAAAATGTATTAATATTAAATATGCAGCTGCCCCTCTAAGTGCAAATACAGAGGTAAGGCGCTTTCTTATTCCATTGTAGTTCCATAGCTACATAATTTGTAAGGTTACTAAAGGCACCAGTCCTTCCAGTTCAACCTGTTAGTGTGTGTGTGTGTGTCATGTCAAAAACATTTCCCATACACCTGTATACTGTGTTCATCAAGATACCCACCCAAGAGTTTTTTTTAAAACTATCAATGCTTCCAGCTGACACCACCAGTTATGGAAGGGAGTTCCACATCCTTTCTGCTCTGACAGTGAAAAAAACCCCTACGCAGTTTAAGGTTAATCCGCTTCTCCTCCAGTTTCATTGAGTGGCTGCACGTCTTCTTACTCTCCCTAAGACTGGATAGTTTATTCCTTATGCTAGAATCACCATTAAGATATTTGTGTACCACTATCATAGCCCCCTCCAGCATCTCTTATCCAGGGAGAAAAAAAGTTAAATGTTTGTAGTTGTTCCTCGTAACTGAGGTCCTCCAGTCCCCTTATTAACTTTGTTGCCCTTCTCTGGACTCTCTCCAGTTCCCACATCTCCCTCCTGAGGACTGGTGGCCAGAACTGGAAGGCATATTCCAGATGTGGCCGAACCAGATTTTTCTAAATTGGCAGGATTATAGTTTTATCTCTTGAGTTAATTCCCTTTTTAATGCACGCTAATATTTTCTAACTTTGCTTGCTGCACCTTGGCATTACATACCATTGCTGAGCGTGTCATCTACTAGGACCCCAGATCTTTTTCCATCCTGAATTCCCCCAGAGGTTCTCAACCCTGAGCTATTTATCACCACCTGTTGGATGGGCCCTTGTAACCAGTTTTCTATCCATGGACAAACCCTGTCTTCCATGTCTATAGATCTCTGTTTGTAAATGAAGCATTTATGTGGAACTGTATCGAAAACTTTTGCAAAATCAGAATTAACCACCCTTCCATAATCTTGATGGCAGCTCACTTCCTTGTAGAATTTTAGCAGTTTAGTTTGGCAAGAACACTGGTTCATAAATCCATGCTGATTACTACGAATTACACTGTTTTCTTCAGCAGATTCTTGTATGTAGTCCCTTATTATCCCCTCAAGTAGTTTACATACTATTGATGTTGGGCTGACTGGTCTGTAGTTCCCAGGTATATGTCTCTGCCCTTTTTTGAATATTGGTACCACGTTGGCTCTTTGCCAATCAACTGGTACCATTCCTGTCAGTATGATGTCCACTACAATTAAGTATAACGGTCTGGCAATAACCTGACAGAGTTCTTTGAGGACTCTCAGGTGTAAGCCATTCTGCCTTTACTTGTGTTCTCTAGTCTTTTTTGGACACTGTCTTCTGTTAGCCACAAGGGTACATTCTGTGATGTGTTACTAATGATACCGTCTTGGTTACTATATCCCTACTTTTCTTTTGTAAAAACTGAGAAGAAGAATGCATTTAGTACAGTTGCCTTCTCCTTGTCATTTGTAACCAACATCTCTTCATCATCCTTTCTGGGGCCAATATATTCTGACCTCACTTTTTTACTATTTATATAGTTAGAAAATTAGGGGGGATTTTTTTTTTTTATTCTCCTCTGCTATGTGTCTCTGATAGTCTATTTTAGCTGCCCTGATTGCATTCTTAAGCTCCATGCACACTGGCTTAAAAATTGCTGCTTCTGCAGGAGTTTTGTGTTATCCTGGTATAGAGTTATCCCACGTGCCCATTGACATTAGGATGATTAGAAGCATATTTTAAGCTCAACGTTTACAGATAGGAAAAAAACCCTTCTGGTTTGTGTTTTTGATTGGAGCTTTCTGGCAGAAAAATAATGCTGAACACTGCTAAACTGTGTACAAAAATGTCAAGGGAATTGGCATTTTTTTTTAAGTCCAGGGTGCATGGAGCCTTACACTTTTTCATGCATTTCTTGTAGTGTTGGAATGCACCCCTCAGCCTTATATTTCTTGAAGGCCATTCTTTTCTCTTTGATATGTCCTTTTATGTTAAAGTTTAGCCACCCAGATTTAACCTTTACTCTTTTATATTTATTGCCCATTGAAATAAAGTGGATAATACCTTTATTTAATATAGTTCTAAAGTTTTCCTATTTTTACTCAGTGTTCAATGTTTTAAGGATTTGGTCTCATTTAATATCTAGTAGTATTCAGCATAGAAAAGTTGGCTCTTTTGAAGTTTAGTGTTCTTTTACTACCCTTGTGCTACCTTATCATATGATTTGTGCTGAATGTAATTATCCTGTGATTTCTGGTTCCCAGGATGGCCCGTATTTCCATATCTGTGACTAGATCTGTGTTATTTGTAATTAATAGGTCCAGTAATGCATTCTTTATAGTTGGGGAACCCACCAATTGGCTAATGAAGTTGTCCTGTAAGACAATTAAGAAATGATAAGCCTTCAATGAGTGACCTGTTCCTTCTGCCCAGTCAATATCTGGATAGTTGAAGTTATGATGTTATTGCTCTGCCTTGTTGCCATTTTTAACTGTGATAGGAGACCCAACTCCTCCTCATCCTTCAGGTTATTGAGCCTGTAGCATATCCCCACTATTATTTTCCCACATGTCTTTTCACTTTGGAGTTCCACCCACAGGGATTCAAGCTCACTCCATGCCCCATTTGCAATTTCATCCCTCACAGTAACTAGCAAATCATTTTTTATTTACAGGCAAACCCCTCCTCCTCTTCTACCCTTCCTGTCCCTCTGATACAAGGAATACCCCTGGATAGATGTGGACCAATCTCGTGAGCTGTCAAAACAAAGTTTCTGATTTTCCCACAAAGTCAAAATCCTCTTCATGTATCATCAGCTCCAGTTCCTCCATTTTGTTAGCTAGGCTCCTGGCATTTGTGTACATTCCTCTTAAATTTGTACCAGCACATATTATTTCCTGCTTAGTTTTTCTGTGGCTGTGATTATGTTTTGCCATCCTGGGTTTAGGTATTATGGTTATAGCACCCTCTGACCTTCACTTGCTGATGGGTATAGTTTCCTCTTATCTTTCCTCCCAGTGACCTAGTTTAAAAGGCCCTCCAGCTCTTTGGCCATCCTCTCCCCCAACAGATCTGCACCCTCCCCATTAAGGTGCAGTCCATCCCTACTATAGAGTCGGTAACCAACTGAAAAGTCAGCCTAGTTCTCCAGGAACCTGAAATCTGGGCTTCCAGAGAAATAACAAGCTCTCATCTTGCACAGCAGTATTCACCCTCGAACGGCTCTTCAATGAACACATACTTGGAGCAAGTTGTGCACTGGGTTGCATCACCAATCTTATTGGACATTTGACCTACTTCCTAATGGGGATGTTCATGAAAATAAATAAGGAGTTGAGGTTTTTTTTTAAATGTGCTCACTCATGCTATAGAGATTTAATTTAATTACAGATACTCCAAATACCCCAAATTACATCACAGTTACCCCCAGTATTCCTAGTTACTCAGAGTTACTCCCAGTACTCCAGTTTCCCCAGTTACTCCCAGTAATCCTAATTACTCACAGTTATTCCCACTCCACCAAGTTACTCCCAATACTCCCAGTTACTCCCAATACTCCCAGTTACTCCACGTTACTCCCAATACTTTAAGATAAGCAAAGATACTCCCAATACTCCAAGTTACATCACAGTTACTCCCAGCACTCCAAGTTACTCACAGTTACTTCCAGTTCTCTAGTTACTCCCAATACTCCAAGTTACTCCCAGTTATTCCACTACACCAAGTTACTCCCAGTTACTCTAAAATACACCAAGTTACTGCCAGTACTCCAAGT